TCACTTGTTTGCACTAATATTATGATTTTGTGTGTTTTGCATAAGCAACTAATCTCTGTGGTCTCTAAAGTTTATAGACTGTATAAAAACAGTAGCCACCAGGACATCACCTGCTGCGTGTGAACATTGAATCTTCAACATTAGCAGCAATATTAAAATAACTTTTGTTGAGTATTCCTAATTTATCTGCTAATGCTAGCGAGCTAGCTTAGTAAGCAAGCTACATTCATAAACAGTATGAATGCAATAAAAGACACACATTGGCTAGTTAGCACTAATTAAGAAAATGCTAAAATTCCGTTCACCAAAACTGAAGGACAAGCCTCTTCAATTCAATTCAATTTTATTTATACAGCACCAAATAACAACAACAGTCACCTCAACGTGCTTTATATTGTAAGGTAGACCCTACAATAATACAGTACTTCTTGGAAGGTTTGTACTACAAAGTAAGCCATAGTATTTATTAGACAGTCCATTAAAAAATGTTCCAAACGACAACAGCACACATACACAGTAAGTGTGTTCAGTGTATGACAATACAACATCTAAATGTCCATATTGTTTGTTGTTTGCATCAGACCTTAAACATATTATTTAATGCAAAGATGGACATTTTAACATGGGACTCTGTTACAACCAGCTGCATGGTACCTACAGATGTTTTTGCCACTTGCATACATATTTCAGCTCAGGAGGTTGCCCATTGCCAGAATCAGCAAAATACCGAAATTTGCACTTACTACGACTTTAATATTCCCTCAGACCAACATTTCATTGGTGGGACGTTTTTCTCAATGGGAAAAGAGCTACATAATAGTAATTTAAAATTTTAAAACAAAAAAGAGTGATTCACTTATGTAAAAAAAACAAAAACAAACTAAATAGTAGTAGTAAACTAAATAGCATTAAATAAGTATTTTAAACAATTATCAACATTTCTTGCAATATAAACTGTAATTTTTAGTGCATATACAAATTTTGTAATGAGCTAGCAGAACCCAATATAAAGCTCTGCTTTATAAGTTTCATTCTTGAATCAAACTACATTGTAGCATCACACTCAAAAAGAACAACAGCTGTTCTATACAATGTTCTGCATATTCTTGACCAGAATTCAGAAGCCCTGCCAACACCACCGCCACCAAACACACACACAGACAGAAACATCTTCCTCCACTATTTACCAATTTAACAATGAAGGCTGCTTCTAACAGCTTGGACGAGTTTACGGACACTGTCACCTCCTATATCCACTTCTGTGAGGACAGCATCGTGCCATCACGCACCAGGGTGAGTTATAACAATGACAAACCCTGGTTTACTCCTAAACTCAAAAAGCTGTGGCTGGAAAAGAGAAAGGCGTTCAGAAGCGGAGACAGGGACTGCTACAGAGAGGCCAAGTACAGGTTCACTAAAGAAGTGGACATTGCTAAACACCAGCACTCTGAGAAGATGCAGCAGCAGATCTCAGAGAATGACTCGGCCTCTGTGTGGAAAGGTTTTAGGAATATCACCAACTACAAGCCTAAAACCCCCCACTCCACTGATGACTTGCTCTTAGCCAACACCCTCAACGACTTTTACTGCCGTTTTGACGAGCCATCAGGCAGCCTTCACACCTCCAACGGCCCCAACAATAGAGGCACTTTGGACACTCATTCCCCCACCTCTCCCCCCTCCATAGAGCCATCACCACCTTCAAACTGTTCACCTACAACACCCCCCTCCTCACCCCACACAAAAGAGGATTTCACACCACCTCCTCCCACCACAACTCTTCATATTCATGAAGCAGATGTGAGGAAGCAGTTTAGGAGTCTGAATGCTCGGAAAGCTCCCGGCCCAGACGGTGTGTCTCCTGCCACCCTCAGACACTGTGCAAACGAGCTGGCCCCAGTGTTTTCTGGCATCTTCAACTCCTCACTGCAGGCATGTCATGTGCCTGCCTGCTTCAAGTCCTCTACCATAATCCCTATCCCCAAGAAACCTAGGATCACTGGACTAAATGACTACAGACCCGTGGCTCTGACATCTGTGGTCATGAAGTCATTTGAGCGCCTGGTTCTCTCCTATCTCAAGACCCTCACGGCCCCCCTTCTGGACCCCCTGCAGTTTGCATATAGAGCCAACAGGTCTGTAGATGACGCCATCAACATGGCCCTACACTTCATCCTGCAGCATCTGGACTCCCCAGGAACCTACGCCAGGATCCTGTTTGTGGACTTCAGCTCTGCCTTCAACACCATCCTTCCAGACCATCTCCGAGGCAAGCTTTCCCAGATGAATGTGCCTGATCCCATCTGCCGGTGGATCACTGACTTCCTGACGGACAGGAAGCAGCACGTGAGGCTGGGAAAGAATGTCTCGGACTCCCGGACCATCAGCACCGGCTCCCCTCAGGGCTGTGTTCTTTCTCCTCTGCTCTTCTCCCTGTACACCAACTGCTGCACCTCCACCCACCAGTCTGTCAAGCTAATCAAGTTCGCAGATGACACCACCGTTATTGGGCTCATCTCGGACGGGGATGAGTCTGCCTACAGGAGGGAGGTTGAACGTCTGGTGTCCTGGTGCAGCCACAACAACCTGGTGCTGAATGCCCAGAAGACAGTGGAGATTATTGTGGACTTCAGGAGGCACACAGCCCCACTCCCCCCCATCATCCTGACTGACACCCCCATCACCTCTGTGGACTCATTCCGCTTCCTGGGTACCACCATCACCCAGGACCTGAAGTGGGAGCCCACCATCACCTCCGTCATCAAGAAAGCCCAGCAGAGGATGTACTTCCTGAGGCAGCTGAAGAAATTCAACCTGCCAACACGGACGATGATGCAGTTTTACACTGCAATCATCGAGTCCATCCTCACCTCCTCCATCACCGTGTGGTACGCTGGAGCCACTATCAGGGACAAACAGAGACTGCAGCGTGTTGTGCGCTCTGCTGAGAAGGTGATTGGCTGCAGACTCCCATCTCTGCAGGACCTGTACACCTCCAGGACATTGCGGCGTGCAGCCCGGATCTCAGCTGACCCTTCTCACCCTGGACACAGTCTGTTTGACCTGCTCCCCTCAGGCAGGAGGCTCCGGTCCATTCGCACCAGAACCTCTCGCCATAAGAACAGTTTCTTCCCCTCTGCTGTTGGACACATGAACAATAACCATATGACTGTTCCCACCACTAACACATGACCCCACGCTGTGTCACTGCATCATTTCATGTTTGGCACTGATCACCACCTGCACTCATGTATATATCTTTCTACGTAGCACTCTTAATTCTTATTCTTACTTTTATTTTATTTTTTTTCATGTCTATTTAAGTGCTATTTATGACACTATGTTTGCACTGAAGCACCGCAGCAATTTCCTAATGTTGTAAACCTCAACATCTGGCAATAAACCCCATTCTGATTCTGATTCTGATTCTGATTCTGAACAACATAAATTGGATCAGATGAAAACATAGCGTTTGTGCTCCCTGCCTGCACCCTACATGGACGCCATTTTCTTTCTGCCTGAAGATTTGTAAAATATTGTTACTACTATAGTTTAAAAAATATCTACAATGTTACATAAAACTATTTAATATTTGCTGAAAATGACACATGGTGGATGAATTTTTCAAACCATTCCTAAGATGTTTAGATGCATTTTAATCTGGCCCTCTTAGCTACTGTAACGCCAGTATTGAGGAGTTCCTTGTTACTTGTCAGCATGAGGCGAGAGATGTTCCTCTATATCTCTTGCCAAAGTGTGTTTGTGATAGGATACCCTGTTACTTTCCTTTAAAGTCTTGCCTTCCTATCCACTGGCATTTTTCATGAGATAATGCAGTGCAGAATTATACAGTATATGGACATTACACCTAGGATACTGGGCATTTGTTCTGTCTTAGTTACAAGTGCCACTAATCTGGTTTAATGATAGGCCACATGTTGGGGAGTAAGAGGCATACAGATGGTGAGAGCCAAGCAGAGAGGCATCATTTACATGCATACACCCTCCCGCTAATTACATTATACTACAACTTGACAAGTATGCCATGATGATGGATAAATGTTTTCTCCTTGTTAACACCTTGTGACAAAATGCTTGTGAAGTATATGTCTGTATTTATTTGATCATAAAGTACTGCAAGTTATTAAGTTATTCCTGTAAGACATATTAGAGCTTTTTCTCTTTATGATTAAAATGCAGAAATATGCATTAGCTCAGCTCACACTGCCATTTATAGCAACAGCATAGCTTTACATTCATTTTCATTAGGTTTTCAAATACAAATGACTTAAAAAAAAGTGCTTCACCTGTCTCAGGTCTCTTTCCTGTGTATTTCTTTGTTTCTGTAACTCCCCTGCACTCTCCTTGATATGGGAAAAGCATATTGAAGGAGCGTCTCTTGTTGTCATGCCATCCTACTTGGTAACAAAGTGTTGGCTTGAATGGGCTGACAGGTCGTGAAAATTTCATCAGCATGAGAAATGCCTGTTTTCCCCTCAACTTTCTGTTTACTGCTATCAATAATTTGTGAACAACAAACAGCAGATGTCTCACCCCCACCCAACAAAAGCTCTGTAGTTGTCTGTGCGTGCGTGTGCATGTGCCGCAACTTGTATGTGTGTACTTGTTTGAGCATCAGCAAGAGCTTGTGTGTGTGTGTGTTCATAAAACAGATGTTCCCTACTGCTGGAAGCAGTCAAAGATGGACTTTGAACACTGGAGCTAATTGTGAATTAATCAATCTATTACCATAGAGATGGAAGGAAAAAAGACAAGTACCAGTACCAGCTACAGGCAGGTTGCCAGCATAGTACTAGTAACTATATTATGGACAGGTTGACATCTGATTCCTTGACTATTTTTTAATATATTGAGGAATAATAACTGAATAACTGAAACACAAAGTATAAGAAGTTCTTATTTAATAAGAAGTTCTTGCCAAAATTAATGAATTTTATGCTGATAAAAGGGCAATGCTTAAAAAATGAGAATGTACTCACAAGTGCTGGAGTTGTTGTTGCTCTCAAGTGCTGCAGTAGGAGTACTGCTGAACACAAAGCACACAGGAAAGTTCTGTAAAAGAAAACAGGCAAAGGAAAATGTGTCTTTATTTAAAAAAAAAAAGAAAAGTTTACAACTAATGTTATATGATGGCATGTATGGATTTTCTCTTAAAACCAGCTATGTAGCTACATCGCTATACCTAAAGCAAATAAAGTATGTAAATATGTTCTGAAGTTTGAAAGACAATGTTTCAAACCTGGGAAACCAAAAGATCTGACAAGAATCACTTTGTTGTGACTCAAATCCCAAGGCTTAGTTAACACATCACATGTTCCTGAACAATCAGGCATATCAGATATGTGTTCTCAAAGCAGATTTTAAGGATGGACTGGCCTTCTCTATATAAATACTTCTATATGGTCAGATCAAATGATGTATCCAGACATCATATAAGTATTTGAATGGGTTGCTGTGGTAATGACATAGGTGTCAGTAACATGCTCCCAGATATTCCTTGATAAATTGCCTTGTTCTGGTAGGTTAATTTCAGATTTTCTTGTTTTGAAGTCTCCCCGAAGACGGTGAGCAAAATATTTTGCTGTCGGGCCATTTGCTGTTTGTCTGCTCGCTGCTAATAGAGGCAACTAAGAGTTAAAAGCATATAAATTGTATTCTTTTTATATTGCATACACTTCCTTTGTACTTTGCACACTCAGTGCAGACTGAATGGTAAGGTCATGACAGATATAGTGTAGGTAAGTATTTGTCTCCTTGGTAGAACAATTGCTTAATCCACTGGCCACATCAGTTGGTGGTGGAGCAGAGCAGCTTATACTGTAGCACCAATTCCTGACCCGTGACACCCACACGATGGTGCAGGTGTTGATTACACAACATGTGGCCATCTGTGGAAAAAGTACATGCAATTACACTGCACTCTTTCCACAAACACACACACACACACACACACAGGCATTTATGTATGCACACACAGCACTAGGCCTGCATGTGATGACATAAAATGCACACACACACACACACACACACACACACACACACACACACACACACACACACACACACACACACACACACACACACACACACACAGGCACACCCTGCAGGAACTCAAGGTATCAAAACATCTACTGCTGAGTCCACAGACAGACTAATACATCAGGTGTCAGGGGTCCTGGCCTCTGCAGCAGGACTGAGACAAGATGGAAGAATACTAACAATGAACAAAGGAAATGAAAGAGAGCAAAGATTTCACAATATCATGTATGCACCAGTGCAAAGTTTTCTACTTTTCTACACGTCTGATTGGTGCTCTATCACTGTTAACTCACCACAGCACAACATGACTTGAGCTATTCGTCAAGTTAAGTAAAAACAGCAAGAAAGTCCCCAGGGAGGTTTACATTTGACATTATTTTAGAGGAACTGTTATAGTTTGTGGCATTTGAGTGGAAGACAGGGATTTTGATGAAGCTGTAGGCCAAGACAGAGTGAAGAGAGAGCAAGAAAAGAAATACAAAACATCTGGGTGTCCTGCTGGGCAGATTTTGGAGGTCTGAAACATAAACATGAGAATCCATCTTTAAGTCACGAGGCAAGAAGACACACCTTTAGGCCTTTCCTCTTTGTGCATAAAGTGCAGCTCAGTTGGGTTTTGTGACAGCTTGTCAGCTTGTCTAATATCCTCTTCCTCCTCGTGGCAGGTCTTTTCAACACCAGCAAGGTGAGATTGTCTGGTTTTACAGGGCCACTTCTCAATTTTAAGAGAAATCTCAATTTTCCACCTGTCAGAATCTATTAGCTATCTATTTGTTTTTGATGTCATTTTTTTCTCACAATTTCTCACATTTTCATGCACAGTATAAGTGCAAGTACAAGTATATCTGTGCGTTCTTGTGTGAATTTGTGTGTGTCTGTGTTCATGTGCATGTCAGCCAATAAAGTTCATGAATCCAGTGTGTGTGTGTGTGTGTGTGTGTGTGTGTGTGTGTGTGTGTGTGTGTGTGTGTGTGTGAAAGAGATAAAGAGAGTCCCTATATAAACTACACAATCAAGTACCAGTTTGGCATTTTCTGTCACATTGCCAGGCATCAAAATGTAATTTTATTACTACCAATCACTCTGGGTGAACACATAACAATATCAGAGATAATTCACAAATAAGTTCTGCAGTACAATTATTAGATATATACAGTTTGAGTATTTAAACTTTTATGTCTCTGAGAGAAACAGTGCACCTTTTACTCCACTATGTATATCTATGTGACAGCTGTAATTTCAAACAACTTCAGCGAAGATGAAGATGTTAAAATCTATAATCACAATGAATGATATCAGTCAGTAGTAGTAAATTGCGACTTTTGTAAGTAGGCCACTTTATTCACAGGCTGTTAAATATTGCTGTCACTGTTATTTCTGCCATTATGGTTCTCACATATGAATTCTTGGAAAGTGCCCACTGGACACGCACCAAGGGTCAACCTTCAGAGCTGAAAAAGTAACCAAACATTAAAATGGGGGAAAAAAACAAGTTTCTTTACGTGCCACCTGAGGCTGGCCCCAGGGTGTCAATCCCCATATTAAAATGTATACTAAAAAATGAAAAAAAAAAATTCTTCGAATACTTTGTTAATGGAATATGAAAAATGCCACCAAAATCCAAATTTTGTTTTAGAAAAAATTAAAAACTGAGTTTGGGGCGTGGCCACATTGATCTTCAGCTGTCTGGATAAAGACGATCTGTGAGGCTTCATTCTCTGCTTTCAGTCATTAAACTTGACATTTTCATTGTGTGTTTGCTTTTTGAGCCTTTTGGGGCATTTCTAATTGATTATCTCTCCAATATTATGACTTGCTGTGTGTTAAACACCTTATCAGAAGTTTCCACCTCAGTTTTGGTGAAATGTTTTATCAAGTCAACAACTTTGCAGTAGATTTACAGTTTATGAATGCAACCTGCAATCTAACCAAGCTAACTAGCATTAGCTGATAAATTAGCACTCCATCAGTTTACCATTATACGGTAACTTGTGTTTCCAAAAATCAATGCAGCAGATGCCAAAGCACTAACATTGATGCTTTAATGAATTACATGCATTGGCTCAATGTTGGTTAATGTAGTGACGGAGATGTGACCAAACTATGTCTCTCAAGCTTTGTAAAAAATTGCTGTAGTTGTTAGCGTATAAATACTAAAATGTAGATTTTAGTGCCTAAACCTGACCAAAGAGGAAAAACAGCAAGAAAAAATGTCACACTTTTTATCAGTAATAATCCGATTGGTAACACAAAGTTTAATTCATTCTGAATCCGCTGAAAAAAATTTCTGCAGGCTTTGAGGCTACAGGTCACCTTACAGCTTACAAATAGTATTGAACAGAGATTTGTGGAGGTACCATATGGACCTGTCCAGTAGTGATATGGCTATCAAAGACAGTAGCAGCCATTGAGCATGAAGGTCACAGCAAGCAGCAAGAAAGAAAATCAGTGTGAAAGCTAAGCATGCAGCAAGGTAAATGTGTTCAAAACATGGTTCACTGCTTTGTAGAGTTCTATGACAATGTCCTTTAAAGGTGACTAAAGATCTAAGATGTGCCATATTGTTTGCATTACACTTTATCAACCGAGTTAACACACGTATCTGCCAGGGAGAATTTGGTAACATACAAAACATATAGCAATAAACAAAGAACATAAATGAATGAATTGATGAATGATCTTTATTGAACTAATAAAGATCATTCATTCAGTCAATAACAAACATAATACATAAACCATATTCTAGACACACATGCAACTTGTGAAACTGCATCATGATGATTTTGATAGTTCGGGGAAAAGAACTACCAAAAGCACAGCATCAAAGAAATCAGTGAAATGTTACCAAATATAAGAGCTTAGAAATTATAAATAGAGCTATCACATTTGTGCAGGGATAAATATGACATATCCAGGGACAAGTGTACACACACATGTCAGCTCACACACAAATATCCCGCTTAAACCCCCATCAGGACTGCCATTACTATCACTGGGCTTATTTATGTGGCTCCTCGGCACTGGAAGAAAAATAATGTAGCTGCTTTTCATAAAGTCTGTAATGGATCCCTAATGGATTTGTCAAATTGACTGGGGAGGAGAGGAGCTGCTTGGAGGGAGGGAAATGAACACAAAATGGTCTTTGATGAGTGTATGTGTGTAAAAGTACACGAGTCTAAGATATTTTGTATGTATGCCCCGGTTTGTTTCAGTCTTGATGCTATGCATGCTAAGCCGTTTCTGTTTCGTGCGCAGCTGTAATGAGTATTTTCTTCACGAAAATATGGAAAAGGAAGGGAGATTGAAGGCAGTTGTAGTTTTTAGCCGGTTTATTCCTCGGCAGTACCTTAATACTGATGTAGAAAAAAAAAAGAGATTAGAGTTTCTTTTTAAAAAAGTGGTAATTTTAAAGTCTTAATCATTTACTGGAAGTCAGAGTTATTACAGATGAAAGACTACTGCACATTGTGACAACCTGCTCTGCGTCAAGCCACGGCGTCACACATGACAGTGTGCTGCCACATAGACAAGGCTGCCGTATTTGCAGACTCACTTCCATTTTCTTTGAAGTGTAATTACATGCTTCATCTAAGGAACAGACAGACAGTACACACCAAGCATCATGTCAAAGTTATTCAAATGCTTGCATGCAAAGCTGTTTCTTACTAAGTAAAGCATACTTTGACATATTCTGACACTGACATGACAAAACGCTCTGAGAGGCATTACTAAAAACTTTCCAAGTACCTCACTTACAGAATTATTATTAAAAACAGTATATTTAAAGAAATGGTAAGCCTACTAATTTTCCCTGGTAGTTTATTACAAATCTGGGAGTTTTGTGCCTGATCTCAGGAATTAAAACATCAGAAAGATGACTTGGTCAAACTCAAGCTCTTGAGGTATGTCGTGGCATTCCAGAAATCATGCTGCAACTAAAGTTTCCCCAGCCTCAGTTATGTTCAAGTTTCAGAGTCCTTATCCTGAACTACACCG